TTAGGCTAAACAATTTAATGGAAAATACTTTTGCCATACTTGAAAAGTTGCAAACCATGCCAACCGTTGCATCAGAAATTAATAAATTCTGGGCCGGCCATCCAGCACCTGGTACTTCTAATAATTTGATATAAATTTTAATCTTCCTGTTTTTAATGAATTTTCATAATACACCACCTTTCAAAAACATGATTTAGACATCTCTTTTGATGGCGATCTTGAAATGGGCGACAAAGGCACGGAAGAAAAAAATCCTCATCAAACCACTACGGAAAGTTCCGATAAATTATCAGTTCTATTACAACTTTCTTCTCATCGACGAATGTTTTCTGACTGTTGGCTGGCACTCCTAAAGCTACCAATGAAACAAGAATCATACAAAAAAATCCTTTTAATTATGCATAAGAAAATAATACCTCATATGCCACAGCCAACGTTATTAATGGATTACTTAACCGAATCATACAATGCCGGTAAAGCGTTAATAGAAAACACTCTTTTACCGTGTTTAGCTTTCTAACTATAACACATATATTAATTTAGGTGGTGCGATTAGCATTTTGGCGCTTAATGGGCTATTTACTCTCATTCACGAGCACAACCTGTAAGTGTTACCATTAACTAGTATATTAGCAATAAAGAAAATAAAAATACAAACCTGTCTTATTTATGTAGGGATTACCCTGATTTCTATAAGAAACTATATAACTTATTTGATAGAAACTTGATGCATGTCAAATATAAATCCAGATTTTTTCGTTTGGCGGACCTATTTTTATCCTCTACGTATGGTATCCGTGCACTTAGAATCATATTTTTGTTTAATGTTGCACGATAATTGATTTCGTTTCCAAATTTTAGTCACCTTCCGGTCCAACTTGTTGCATCATTTATCAAAAGGATGTCCCGTCTTTCCCTTACAAGCCCGCCTCACGGAATTGTCATTATCATTCCAATGATCTATAATCTCATTAGGCGACATCCAAGTTGTATGATTTTAATCCATCGACCTTCCGAATCATCTTTCAAAACTGAAGACGAATGTGAGTTTATATATTGGTGAACAACTTTTTTAATGAAAGTTGCTTATTTATTGATATTTTATAAAAGCTTGCGACACCGATCCATATGACTTTAACGAACCGGACCCTATGAAAAGCAATGCAATTGATAGTTCTTTATGGGAGATTAAAGTAAGATTCATTTCGTTATTTTATGAGGTCCTCATCTGTTCCTTAATTAAATCGGATTTATTATAAAGACCTTGCAAGAACATTACTTTCCGAGCGTTGCTACTTTGGCGAAAATTTTTCAAGACAAATTTACAAGGCCTTCATATGATCTAGAAGATTTCTTGGATCATACTTATACTAGTGTATGAGAATTTTTAGTTATAATGGCGATGTTACTTTATTCCTACTAATTTTTATGTAAATCCTTTAATAAGTTATTTGAAACAGAAATAAAAAGAAAGTCGAAAAAGACACCTGCACTTGCTTTTGAGAAGCCAGAATTCGTATTTCCGACGATTGAGAATATGGTTACCGAAGAAATGGATGCTGAAGAAAAGGAGATAAGGATAGCCAACATAATGAAGGGCTGGGAGATTTTTGAGTTTTAAATAA